GCCCTCGTGTACCTTTGCGCGAAAATTCAAAAAACAAAAACAACAAGAATAATAAATCTAGATAATCACATTATTAAAAAAGTATTTGTAGTTCTTGAACTGTTTATCTGTAGTCGTCTTCCTCTTATTTGGTCTCTTTATACACCAATTAAAAAAGTAAGTTACAGACGGAATCCACCCAAGTTATTAACTCCATTGAATTTACTAATTTTTCCATAAAAATAACGGATATATTTGACTCCAATATTCATCCGCCAATGTGTCATTTTTCAAACCCAGAAGAGGAAAAACGAAAGTAAAGACGCTCTTATGCAAGTTTTTCCTTGTACTGAACCATTATGTTTAGAGAGGAACAAAAAAGAAAATAGTAGTTACAGTTTGTTATATTGCTAATTCTCTAGAGGATACTTGCTCGTAACCATGGTAATATAAAAGAAGTGACGTAATAATAGAAACGACTTATATTGGTGATTTTGTTGCTTTAATATCTTTACTGCTTGTTGATACACCGTTTCCCGCATTTTTTTCTGTACAAGCCGCCAGAAAAGTAACACATATTAACACTTCGTTAATAAACAAGAACTATTATGCAAGTACAAGCCCACAATTTGAAAATTAAACAACAAGTTCGAGAATCACTACGGGAATAAATTAATGATTGCGTTGAAAGGTAAAACGATAATAGAAACGAAGTTAAAGAAATTGTTGGGGACAGTTTTATTTATTGCTATAAGAGAAGTGGGTAAGCATGGTTGCTGTATTGAACGACCGTGGTACACGTACACGGTTTCGGAGCCGTAATAATTTCACACTCACGATAAATTATTTACAGCTCTCTTTTCTTCCAGGGACGACTATATGGGTATTATTTTAGGAACTAGACTAAAATAGTCAAGGGTATGATATAGGTTGTTAAAAAATACACGAATGTCATTTTATGTATATGCAACGCTTTGCCTTTTCCTGATTAATACTTGTGACTACCACTAGAGTGCAAAAATATCTAATTTTTAAATTACTTAACGTTGAAAGAGATGTCACATTTATTTAGATAAATATATAATGTTACAGTGGTGTATTATGAATTACTATTGCCTTAGATTAACAGCTTTTTTCGGCACAAATTAAGTAAGAAAAACAATACAAGTTTACAAAAATATAAAGTTAACTACCCGACTAGTTTCGACATACCACGTGCGTCATTTTTATACCCTTGAAATTTGACGTACGTGATACGTCGAAACTAGACGGGTACTTTTCCTGAAAGGGTCAACTGTTTTAACCACTCATACCACAGTACAGTAGTGTTATCTGTTAGCCAGCCAGTAGATGCTAAAAGGAACATTTAACGTTGCAATCTGTACTGTCGTGACGTTAGTAAAACGTGCGCATGCAATGAATCAAGAGAAGAATTATATACTTTTTTGGCTACAACACAGCATGACATATGAACTTCAAAAGCAAGAAATAAAGATATTTGTTACTCTTAATTTTGCTTTTATTTACTCTTGAAACAGAATACTGGGGATCATGTGGAAGTACATCTAGTTAACTTTATATTCTTTGTAAATTTGTGTTGTGTTCCTTACCTAATTTGTGCTTTAAAAGCTTTTAATTTTTATAAAATTTACAGGTAACACAAAGTACTGCCTAATTTCGTTAAACACGAAACAGTTTCTTTATCCATATGATTGTATAATTCATTCAGAATATTTAAAATATGAAAACTTGTTAATTTGTTTGAGTGAAATAAGAAGGAGAATGTTAATCCTATTATTGCTAGTCGAGTAGAAACTATTCATTTTGTCAGCATATAAACAACCCTTTACATACACTGAAAACACTGAGAGAAGAAAGAAACGTTATAACATGTTTTTGACAGTCAATCGCTAGTCAAGAGCTTATTTTATTGTATGCGCGTAGGAATAAACGTATATTTATGTATATACTGATGTTTTTCAGTATTCTTTTCGCTGACATTGTTGGGTTCACAATGTTGGCCTCCCAGTGTACAGCTCAAGAACTTGTTATACTGTTGAACGAACTCTTTGGAAGATTTGACCAACTAGCCAATGTAAGTATTAGATCTTAGTTCATTGGATAAACAGTCACTATTCTGTTGTATAAACGGCTGAAATATTTTATTTTTCATTAATTCACTTAGACTGTATTTCATTTTCAAGCTGTTCATTGTATTTGTTTCCTTGGATATAATGCGCAAGTTATATTTAAGCGTGTTTATTTCATGATATTCTAAACTGATCCACCATTTTTTGCATTGTTTAAAACTTCGTCAAATAAGAATAATAAAACACTGAAATGGTCAGTAAATGAAATAGAACAATTAGACTTTGTTCACTAAGATCAAAATAAATATCTCAGTAACACGTGAGTCAGTCTGCTACCCGTGGAAGACGTTTGGACCATTGCCTTCATGTGTCTGATTTTTTAAATTTCTATTAGACAACATGAATCAGCAGCTTAATGGTATGTGCAACACGTGCTGGTGGTAAAGACTATACTTGTGTCAAGCTACAAATAGCTGGAAGTGCTTTGTTTGTGTTCTCAGATAAAAATCACCAGAAATAAACTTACCTTTAACTCCACTTCAAGTCTTGTGGCTAGACATTTTGGGCAAACTCAATCTGTCCTTTACAGATAACTTTTAAATTAGGCTGTTATTTTTGGACGCTCAAGTATTCCGATAGTAACGCAGGTTCCACTGAAATGATTGAAAATGTTTTATTTTTGGCATCGTAATCTCTTTACGGCTGTTGTTAAATTACATTGACCTCTTTTAAAGCTGAAGAAATTAATAGAAACCATATGTTTATGTATTTATATATACATTACATACTACTACTACTATAAAAATGCACCATCACTAACAACAAAAAAGACTGTTTTTTGGTTTAGTTCGACAACATTTGTAACCAAGAATAAATAATTGAGATGCTAAATTGATCACATCGTGGGCCGTTCTTTATGCCTTTTTTTTTGAGAAACTAAATTGATTTGTTTGTTTGTTATTAAGCACAAAGCTACACAAAGGGCTATCTGTGCTCTTCCCATCACGGGTATCGAAACCAGGTTTCTAGTGTTGCAAGTCCGCAGGCATACCGCTGTGCCACTGGGGGGGGGGGGCGCTAAATTTATCACACCATGGGTCGTTATTTATGTCTTTTTGTTTTGTTTTTGAGAAGCTAAACCGATCGCTACTTGAACCTTTCTTTATGCCTTTTTTGGAGAAACTGATTTGATCACATCGCGGGCAGTTCTTTATGCCCCTTTTTTTTTTGAGAAACTAAATCAACCATATCGTGGGCTATTCTATATGCTTTTTTTTTTAGAAACTAAACTGATCGTATCTTGGACCGTTCTTTACGCTCTTTAGTTGTTCAGTGAATCACAAAATCAAAACCCCATAAACCCGACCGTTTGTGGAAAGTACTTTACTGTTAGAAACGGCTTACTGAATGTTTCGTAAATTGCTTTTCTTCATTACAATTGACTTAGTTATTTTAATTATAGTATTAATTTTAAATATTTATTTCACGATGTCGTTATCTATTGAATTGTTATCTTGTATCTTCATTAAAAATTATTATTCTTATTTTTACTGCACCGTCTGTTCTGTCCTTCTACTCGACCTAATATTTAAACAGTAGCGTGTCTTAGTAATTTATCTCAAATGATAAGCTACTCTAAAGTTGATCTGTCGGAGCAGTTTAATTGGCTTTCACCTCTCACTAATCCCCGGTGGGTAAGCGATTAGCTTATGAGCTTACAACGCTAAAATCTGGGGTTCGCTACTCTACAGTGGATAAAGCGCAGATAGCCCACTGTATAGCTGTGTACTAAAATCAACGAAACAAGTCATTTTTTCACTATACATTGTCAGGGGTGTACTTAAAGTTTTACATATACTGGTGTGATGCTTTTCAAAGGATAGGGAAATTGATAGTGCAAGAAGCAAACGACTAGTTATATTTTACTCTTTCTTTCATGTTCGTTATGTTAGATATGTGTAGGTAGCTTGCTTTGATCACAGGTTATTAAATGATATTTTTCTAAACGCTCGGGTTATTGCTCTTTTTAGTTTGTTATAAGTTTGAAAATTAGTTTTAAGTACAGTCACCATATTTTAAGGATACAGTTAGATCCTCTTAAAAATATTATACAATTTCATGTTAGAAGTAATAAAACATTGACAGATAATTAACACAGTGATTAAATTTTCGTAACATTCAACATGTTTTTTTGTTTTTTTTTCAGTTTTAAATTTAGTGGAATATTTCTCAACAGGTGATGTGTTACTTGATAAACACTAGTATGTAAAATTTGATATTCCAAATGTACAGAAATATCTTCAAGTGTAGAGATGCTTCTATGAAATCACAGATTCCTAAATGTTTATTGGATATCTATTTCTCAGGAAAATATAACAGAATATTCTGCCAAATTTTCAACACGTTGTAGCAAACCAGTAGCCTTGTGTTGTAAAGAAAAACAGAAAACTCGCCTGATGGGATGATTGATGGCTACAGCCCCGCACCACCGGTATCTGATTCACCTCTTCTAAATTTTATTTATAAAGCTTCAGCATCGACAGAGTAAAACAATGATCTCTAACCATCAAATAAATACTCATTTTAGCAGGAAAGCAGCCATTTCATGTAATAATATCTTTTAAATCATTTTCTTGTTTTACCAACAGGATAACCATTGCCTTCGGATTAAGATTCTCGGGGACTGTTACTACTGTGTTAGCGGACTTCCCGAATCTCGAGTAGATCACGCCCTCTGTGCTGTTGAGATGGGTTTGGACATGATAGATGCTATAGCGTAAGAGTAGTATTTGTTTTCCAAGAAATTCTTTATAGTGTAACTTGTATTTACATTTCTTATCAATGGATTTTTAAACTAGTTTTTATTGTCTTGAAGTATTTAAACCAACTTAATAATTATTATTATTATCAGAGAAAACTTTAAGAAAGCTTCTTGTACTTTTTTCCAACTTCATAATTCCGTTTATATCTTAAAGAGATTTTGAAGAATTTTTACTGACCCTTTTCTTCTTACGAAGTTCTTTGAAACATCTGCGATTAGAGAAAAAATATTTTTTGTACTGTAGTCCACGAGATTTTCAGAGTGTTTACGGAAGCTCGCAAAAGTAACCTAGAAAATTAAGTTATCCTGTGTAAGAAAACCACTTTTATGTAGTGCTAGAGCTTTTCAATCTTTTTTTTTTCTTAGTTCTGTGAACTGGACTGGTTGCCAAGGGCATTTAGGCTGATTTACGCCATTTTGTTAGTCACTACCATCATTTGTTGACTTTATTTAATACCTGATGGATGATCAGTAACAATGTTAATCATATTGCTGATTATTTTTATTAGCCTAGAATACTTGCCCCCTCATGATTTATAGAGGCCCCAGTGTATCAGCAAGCTTTTCCATTATCCTCAGTTACGTCCATAGCTACTCAAGGGGGATTTGCACCAGAAAATAAACATCACCTCTGGTACCCCAACACGTATAGTAAGCTTGGGGGTATGAACAAAATTCGGAGAATCTCTAAGGTTTCAGTTACACATAATTCGATATCAGATTCGGGTTCAGCGACTGTGAAAACCTACTCTTAGAACTACATTTTGGCTGGATAATAGGGCTATGTCATGTAGAATAACGATATTCCCAGGGCACCTGGAGTCTACCTGCTACGTTTGGTCCAGCTAACTCCACCCACATTATACAAAGGTACAAGCTAAAGTAAAATAAGATAATGATATTAATTATAAGTAAATGTGTGATTATAGTTGCTTAAGTTTATATCAAGTATTAGCTATAGGTAGGGTTGCTACTTAAGTAGTTTTAACACCGTAGTAACAAGTCCTTATCAGATCTCTGATTAGATTGAAACATGGGTGCTTTGTTTATTTTTCCATTTTACTTTTAGTGAAAATTATTTTTTGGTCTAAACTGTTACTAAGGTAACAGCAGCATGTTTGGTACAGAATCATCATTTTGGATATGTTTTAGGTTGGTTGTGGAAGCCACAGATGTACAGTTGAACATGAGAGTTGGTATTCATACAGGACGTGTACTGTGTGGGGTTCTGGGCCTGCGTAAGTGGCAGTATGATGTATGGAGCAATGATGTGACACTGGCCAGTAACATGGAAGCAGGCGGTGAGCCTGGGTGAGTTGTGCATAGGTTAGGAAAGAAAGGTTTCTCCTGGCAAAAATGATTTATACACATTTTTTAAAAATTCAATATAAGAAAGTGTTAAAATAATAAATGTATTTTAAGTTGAAATACTTTTGTGTATTTCCAAAATAACATTTATTAAAGGGGTTTTGACCATGACTTTTAAGTATGTTTCACAGGAGGTAATATTTTATTACATTTTGTGTATTATCACTAAGTTCTAATCAATGCAAGATACCTATATAGATCAGAACTAAACATTAACCCAATAATTAACTAATGTACTGTACCATTTGAACTTATAATGATTCTATTTCGTCCATTCATCATTTTGGTACTCTTGCTGTAAGTGATATTTTTAGTTGTATTATCTGAAAAACTACTAGTAATATCTCACAAAGTTCATTTAGCTTAGGAAATTTAAGTTAGTCCTTGTACTAAGCCACCCATGCAAGATAATCCTCATAATGAAAAACTGAAAATAATAAAAGTAAGTATACACAATAAACTAATATTAAAGAAAAAACAGAATATGACTTACAAAATACATAAAAAATATACGTTTGTTTCATGCACTATTACCAGTTCTCTGCTTCTTGAAGCATGACACCAGTAACATGTGCAAAACTTAATATAATGTTCTCTAATAACATATAGTGATCACTGAAAGCCATTAACCAGCTCCAACTGCATACCTTTACAGCAGCTTAACATCTGAGGTAAATTACTACAACACATGTTAGTGTTTGGAGTTGGGTAGCAGGATGAGACAAATAATACAGCAAAGACCTAAAATAGAGATAAAAAAATAACAAATTAAATTAACAAAATAATTGTTCCACAAATAGTAAGAGTTTAATATTCTAATTAAAATAACTAAGGTAAATGTAATAAATGGAAAAATAATTCACTAAACATATTATGTGCTGTGTCTCTTCTGACATAGCTAGTTTGACTTTAGCTATCCCATACACAAATGGTGACTTTACAGAGCAGAAGTAATACATAAAGTTAGATCCCTAGAACTACCTAAAATTTATACGTGCAAATAAGATACAAGAAAGATCACTGTACTAATAATACTTAAAATAAGAAAATGGTAAAAAATGTCAACTAAATTCATTAACAGAATGTAATGAAACTAACAATCTAATTTCTTTATAAAGAACCAATATACAACAACTACAGAGAGAGAGAGGAGGGTTAAGGTAGGGGGGGGTAAAAATAAGTGGTAGTCACCATATTAAAGTTGTTCATTCATTAATTACTTTAAGTAATTTAGATGTAGATATGATAGTTTTTAAAAGGTTGTGATATTATGTGAAATTATTAATCCCATAATTGGTAGCAAGAAAATTGTTGAATTTACCAAAAATCCAATAAATCTGATGTCAGTAATTTGGCAGGAGAAACATCATTTGTGAAAAATGAGAGTGAGATTTACAAGATTCAGTAGACAGAGCTCATAATGTTGAACAAATTATATTAGATACTAATAAGATTTGAGTAGTAAATGTTGCAGCATAATTTATTTATAAAATTTGTATGTGGAAATAGAAAAATTTATTATTTCAAAATTAAAGATGTTTTATTGAAAATTTTGAATTTGAACATTGTCTTCTTAAACATGGTGAGAGATTTCTGGGATCACACATGTACTTTTTTGTTTCTTTCTCCAGTCAGATTTACTAATTAACTTTTATTTCTATAAGATACATATAAAACTTCATATATTTGAACAATTTTTTGGAAATATATTTTTGATCCTTTTATATAAAGATAACAACGTTTTAACGTTTAAAGGAAACAATTTAACCTTGTGGACCTTCCTTAACTTGGTTGATATTTTAAGAAAATTCCAGACAACTATGCCAAAACAAAAACAACATGCATAAAGGACAGACATATAAAACTAGTGTACAAACTACAATGTGGGAAAAGTAATATGTATCATACTTTTATTTGTGTCCTTTATGTGGAACATTTTTTTTTGTCTTGTTTTTAAAAGTTTATACACACAATAAGAAAGATTAGAAAGGTTGAATATTAATAAATTCTAATAAAAGAATATGTAGCAAGTGCAGCTGTAACCTGTAGTTATTTTATCATATGTAATAGGAAAATTCTGGAATTCCTATTTGTCTTGCATAAGGCAACAATAACAGAATTATTGTTTTCCATAGAGATACCACTTATAGGCTTTAGTAAGGACTACATAAAAAAAAAATTATGCTAGAAACAAAAGAACCCATCAAGAGAAAAAGTAAAAAAATAAAGTTAATAAAAGAAGTAATATAAATATAGGTGAAAGGTCCTTTAAAGGTTACCAGTTCTTAACCCTCTTAGGATATGGATCTATTGGAATAAGGAGAAGTTATAGTTCCTATTATTTTAAAACTAGGAACTTGCTATCTGATGGATATCTTAATTTTTGTTACATCTGTAGCACTTTTTGAACCTTCATTTTCAGTTTTTCACTCTTCTATATTGTCAGATTTTATTACCCCTTAGCAAAACATTTTCTGTTGGATTACTCATTGTTCAACAGATAGTAGTATCATATAAATTGTATTATACATACTAACATGTGTGTGTATGTATATTTGTTTTTTTAAAGAAAAATGTCACGTATGTTAAATTTCTCCTCCAAAGAAAAGAGATTATAAAAGCATCCTCACATCTGCAATAATTTTTATATTCAAACAAATAATATCACACGTATAGGATAGAGAAATAAAAGGTATACTCTACCAAATGGTAACAGTAGGTTATATTGTAGTTGGAAAGATACCTGCTTAAGTAGGACCTGCTGGTCTGTGGACTGGTGCTAGTTTAGAAGGAGATTCAACTGGTCTGCAAAATGGTTGAAAATAAAAAGTGTGTTTTGAAACATAGCTACTGAAATATATTGTTTTACAATGTAATATGAAAGTACTTTAAACAGTTAATATTATACAAAGTAGTCCATGAAATTTTGGGGTCAGAACTAGCTAGTCCTGAATTGGAAAAAGATTGGAAACCACTACTTTAGAGTGTTCTTAATCATAAGTAATGTTTGACAAAAGCAGCATATTGAATATTTATATATATTTTTTTCATGAAAGTTTACCCTGCCATGAAAACTGGTTGGCTGAAACAATAAAAGTATTTGAGGTATTTGTTATTGAATTAATCTCTCCAGGGCAATACCAGAAATAAGTTATAAGCTTATTTACAGACGTGTTCACATCACTCAGGCCACGTTTGATTTCCTTCATGGAGAGTATGAAGTTGAGCTTGGACGTGGGGCAGACAGGAACATCTACTTGAGAGAAAATAATATCAAAACATACTTTATTATATCACCTGCTCAACGAAGAAAGGTAAACTACGTTGTATTGTAGTTGTATTTTTTTTTTTTTACTATTGGTGGTTTACACAGATTTTCAGTTTAGTATTTGTAGCATCTAATGATTGTTTTCTTAAAACTTTTATTTTAGCATCACTGTTTCAACTTATCAAAAACCAGACAGAACTGCATGACTATCGTGTTTAACAGTCTATCATGACTATCAAACACAGAGAAAGAAGATCTTAGAGAGTGTGAAAATGTTCTGCTCATATTTGAAATAGCCATGTCTTCCAGTTAATATAAACCATACCTTTATTTTCTGGTTAAAATAAGTGCAAAAACTAATTGCTGCTGCACAATCTCTCCGTAGAACAACTTGTGTAGTTCTACAAAACATTGAAGGAAAGCACGAAAAATATCCCATTTTAAGACAAAATATTTCTGAATTTTTGAACACTTAATCACAATTCATTTCTAAAATCATATACCTAAGATAATGTTTTTAGAAATGAAAAATATATTATAAAAAGTTTTTAAAACTTCTGAACTCATAACTTTAGAATTAGTTTGTAGGAAATGTTATATCTGTCCACTGATCTGCTTGTTTTTGAAATGTTGACTTGTCTGTTATTTGTAATGAAGTAAATATTTTTCAGTATTTTACTTAAAAATATGTTACCTAAAACGTTGCTTCTAAAATTGATTACATATAAAAGTTTGCAACATCTGTGTTGTTCAAAAATACACATTATTTCCTGATACTATAAAATGTTCAAAACTAGTTTGGTCTATGTAAATATGTAAAATGTAACATTGTAAATGTATGAATACCCACTTTTATTTCATATAGTATATCAAGATTTATACTATCATCTTTTTATATTCATGTGTTTCTTTTGGTCAGTATAGTGTATTACCATCTTCTGGGGACTTTTATACTTGTTATATGTTTGTATGAACATTTGATTTATAATGTGTGTGTGTTGTCCTCTTAAATTCCTGTATATTTCAATGATCCTTTTATAATTTCTTTTCTGGTGCCCTGCAAAAAATCACGTATCTAAATATCACTAGTTATAAATAACATTCACTTTTAATTTTTGTTTATTATGATAATTCTTGAATCCTCAAAATGGCATACATTGTGTAACGATTAAAGATATGTTAATAAGCCCTGCCTGGGGCTTGAACCTTGCTTGAGCTTATGCTAGCACTCTGAGACTGGTACTTTTCCAACTGAACTATCAAGACTACAAACCCCAGGAGATAATTCCTGTCTTAATTGTTACAAATCCTATGTACTTAAGAGTCCTGAAAATGTAGTGTTTTGTTTCCTGAACAATCTGTATCTGTTATCTTAGTTAATTAACACAGAACCTTTTATCTAGTAAGGTACTGCTAACCAATTTATCGAAGATCAATTTTTCTTAGTTTCCTGAAGACATAGTTTTCTACATGTATCTGGTGCTTTATTGTAGCATGACTGTTTAAACCTCTGCATATTTTAGCCACTACTGTTCAATACACTGCAAGTGCGACATCTTGCTGGATCATCTCGTCGAAAACTCCCTTTCACAAATGTATCTAATATGGTAGTTCAACTTCTGCAGTCCATGAAGTATAGCATGGATGTTCCTTTCTCCAACTGGGCTGCTATTCCATCAACTGCTGATAAACAAAACTCAAAGGTGAAAGTTATTTGAAAATACAAATGTTCTGTATAAAACTGATTTTAATCTTTAAAAATTCCTTTGAATATATTTTACATGTTATAATTATCATTCTTAAATGTTCTTACCTTAAGTTTTTGGAAATTTGTAAATGCTTCACCACAAGTCACAGTTTTTCCTATTAACTAATAAAATGATGAATATTTCTCTCTATTGAAAAAAAAAGTATTTACATTTTATTTGCTTGCCAGGCTAATAATAATAATACAATATATATATATACTTATTATGTATCTTTTAATTGGGTTTAATTTAATAAAAAATGCATTAATGGGCTGTAACCTACACCTTATATAATGTTGTGATGTTGACTTTGCAACTTCATTATCAAAATATGAACAGGTAAAGTTTTTAAAAGTATTTTGACTGAAAATTTAAAACAAGTTGGATAAATAATAATGAAATATCTTTTATATAATTATAACTGTAAAGGTATCAAAATACAATAATATTCTATTTCAGATGAAAGTTAAACTACATTTATGTAATAACTCCTACCAGAAGATAGCTAAAAATCTTAACAATTACAATCAATAATAATTAATAATTAGTCTTAATCATGAGAAAACACAAAAAGCCTTTATGACCACTATGCCTTAGGTCATAAGATGGATGCTTTTGTATATAATAACAATAAACCCTGTTTGTGAAGTAGATGTTTACTTATAAGAACATACAAAGAAAAGTTAATACAAAGTCTTCTCCTAATGCTTTTACTGAATTTTTATTTTTAATCATTTCAATTTGTCTAGGTAAAAATGGCAGATAAGATCAGGAAGCCTTTCAAGAAGAGGTGAGCCATGTTTTTATTATATTATAACCTATGAGGATGTTAAGGAATGTGCATTAACCTGGGCTTACACCCATGGTTCTTGGATCATATTTGTATTCTGAGGTTAGTGATTTGTGTTCCAAACTTCCAGTGTTATTATATTTATTATAGAAATATGTGAAACAAGTTTGCAGAGAATCTGTTAGAGCTGTGAAGGATCATTATTACCTTTGTTAGATGCACACATCTGGTTAACAAAAATGGCATAGTAGCAGAACACCTGCATGAAAATTTAGTAAAATTACATTAATACATGTGAATAAAGATGTATTTTAATCTACCTATAGAAAGGTGAAATTCATGACTACTTTAGTCATTACATCATATACACCTTTAATTATATTACATCACTTTTATTTTTATTTCATACTTTTATTCAGATATAAGCACACTTCTTTATATTAATTTTATACTATATGGGGATGGTTTGTCTACATTTTAACCTTGAATGTGTATACAAATAGTCACTCCTGTATTATTTGTTATTTAAGATTTTCTACCATACAGTATTTTCATGCCTATTTATTTTTTAATATTTTCTCACTTTATAGTCCACATTGGGTATTTATATATACATGTACTATTTTTATTAATTAAAACAAATAATATTTCTATGCATTATGTTTTGTAAACTAACCTCTCTCAATTTTTATTCATTTAATACAAATTTTGGATTTTCATTCTGTATTTTAAATTTTGTGACTCTAGTTATTAATTACTTATTTTGACATATATTATTGAAACACGATATTAACACATATGTATTTTGTTGTTTTTTTTTGCTTTTTTTGGGGGGGTGGGGCTTGGTATGACCTACTGGTTAAAACGTTTGTGAGTCACAAAGGTCAAGGATCAAGAAGTGAGCCTCCTGGTGATTCAAAGTTAAGTTTGAGGGCGTATAATGCTAAAAATTGGGTTTCATTATCCAGAGCATAGGTAGCCTATTGTATAGCTTTGTGTTTAAAAACAATCAAAAAATTATACTGCTTGTCAGGTTTTTATATGGGGCCGGATTCTTTATAGTAGGTGTCTGTGACTTGTTGGTGATAAATTTCAACAATAAATGGACAGTACACATTCCACTTGTTTTAAAATAATATATGTATATATTCAAAACAATTCAAACATATATACAACCAAATTCATTATACTATTGATTACCACAGTTAATCTAGAGCTTTAAATAATTCTCTTTTTTTTGCAAAAGTCCACACAGGCTGGTTCAGTTACTTTAGAACCCAATTGAAAAGATATATTATTCTTTTCTATCTCTGTTGTTACAATACAAGCTGTGAAACTTTCACTTTATAAACCACCCATTATGGCTAAACTGACAATCCTGCAGTCCAATTTCACTTTTTCACTTTTACTTTTGCTAACTTACTTACTTCTCTATCTGCATGTATTTATAACTTGCGAAAGAAAAATCTAGTCCTCTAGTGACAACAATATTACACATAAGAAAAACTTAAAAGCTTCGAGTAAGATGACGTCAACAATATTATAAAAGCCTATTACAACAATTAAACTACATACACCGTGTACGACTTGTATAGAATTACATAGCAAAACTTGTCATGACTATAACTTTTAACACTCTTGTTATGAAAACTAAATGATCATTAAATATTAAATCACTAAATAAACTAACTAATAACTCTTAAACTAAACAGTATATCCAACACTGCTGAACATGCTCTGTACTTTCAGCTATACGTGTGTGTGTGAAATGAATGTGATGGTTAATTCCATTATTTAATTCAAAGAGCTGCCTTGTGGTGGTAGGTGCTGCTCTGATCAATTGTTTTCAAAATTAGGGATACCTGTTCCTGAATTTTTGGAGTCTTTGATCTGGCTGTTCCATCCATGTTCACATATGGTGTGATTCCAGATGAAAATTCCCATTCATATTTCTATATATTTTATTTGTTGTATAATTGTTTTTTGTCCATTTAACCATTTCTAGTTTTTAGTCAATCGTTTACTACATACAGACACAAGTCTGAGAGACATGTCAACCTAAAATTTATTATACTCTTTTGTTCCAAACATATTTTTTCTTCTGAATTTTTAATGATATTTTCAATCTTTTTTTTTTAAACATAATTTGGATTATTTTAATTGAAATATGTACACTGTGTTTGGTTTTTATGTTCAGTTATTAAGAACAGTGAAAGTTTGAAGTTAAAATTAGTGTTCCTTTTTTTTTACTTAAGAACTGATGTCTTAATGAATTAATATTTATTTGTTAGGCACTCCTCAGTTTACCATCAGCCAACAAATCGAGTTAACAAGTACTTGGCCCAAGCCATAGAGGCCAGAAGTGTAGACATGGAAAAAGCTACTCATGTCAGTGTAGTGACACTCTGTTTCAAAGATAAACAGAAGGAAAGACAAGTAAGTATTAAAACAAAACATTATCATTTTTCTATCCTTACAATTGTATAAACAATTCACCAGTTCCTCTAAATCTTTCAGAATTTTTAAGACAGTATCTAAAAAGTTAAATGTGTCACTCTGAATGCTTAACATATAAAAGGATATGGGAACAGTAAATATCAATTACATGTACAAGAGCTCATTGTATAAAAGATTAGGTTTTCTGATTTTTGTAGGTTTTTATATATCAAAATGAACGTAAACACTATACATCTATAGGATAAATGTTACTTTGAAAAAGATACCTAATACCAAAGATTCAATCAAGGGTAAACGTGCCTCTTATTGTAGGATGTGTGAAGGAACAATCTTTTTTTTTTTTATTCATATGCTACCTTGTTAATTCAACTTGTAGCTTATCAATTTATCCAGCTACTATATAGTTTCTCAGGTAACTGTATTTCACTCCTCCAGTATCAGGAAGACAAAGACTATGGCTTCACTACAAGCATGGCTTGTGCCCTAGCAATTTTATTGTGTATTGGCTGTATACAGGCTATAATATTGCCTAGGTAAGGTATTCCTCTTTATTATAGAAGTCCTCTTTTCAGCATTAGGTACAGTCTTTGGTAATAAACCTTTGATTGTAATATTATTTTGTTAGAAAAACATCTGCTTTCCAATAGAGTACCTTCATAATTTGAGAATTTACTTATATTCCTGCTGTCTTAAAATTACATGGCAATACTAAAATATAAAATGCTTTAATTACCGATTTGTTTTTTGCTTGCATCTTTTAATATATATTGTGTTGATTTAACTCTATATTAATATAGAAACCTACAACCTTAATTGTTATTGTAAACAAAATATATAATCAGTTTCTAAAGTATCTTAAGAGGTCAGTGCAAATAGTTATTCATAACATAATACCCATTTTGGAAGCGGTTAGGCACTAATTATTTTACGCTATGCATTGATTTTGATTGTAAGAGATTCACAAGTACAATTACATATGTAATGGTGTAACACAAAAAAATACAGTTAGTGTTTGTTATTATGGTCTCAGAGTTAAATTGCTGGTGGTAAGAGTATATGAAAAAAACAGTTATAAAAACATGTATTCATATGCAGCCAAAAGAAAGAAAAACACCAAGTAAATTAATGAAACGTTATTTCTTGGGGAAAAATTATAGCGACTAAAAGAACCTTTAATATTATATGTAGTAAACTATCTTTTTGAGTTTGAAAAATAGTAATAATGATGTGACATCACAATTTACTGTAGTGAAGTATTTAGTTATAAACTATAAATAAACAAAATAATTAATAAAGGAAGAAAATATAATACCTGAAAACAATGAGCCTTTTACTAAATACATAGAAAAGAAGAAGATATAGGAGTATTTGTTCTAACACTGCATAGTACTTAAATGTTTTTAGAAAAATCAATAGTTTTATTAGTGAATCTGTTAATCAGTATACTACATTTTTTCATAATCTGAATACCTTGATCTTGGGGAAAACACTTGAAAAGCCTATAACTAGCAGATAAATATTTACTAGCAATCCAACCATTTGTTAAAAAAAATCCCAATCAGTTTTGTAGTCACATTGATCAAATGGTACATTAAATAGTTTCACAGTAACATTAATGTAAAAGTACCTTAAATAGTTCCATAGCTACATTAGCATAACATTATACTAAATAGTTCCATAGCTACATTAGCATAACATTATACTAAATAGTTCCATAGCTACATTAGCATAACATTATACTAAATAGTTCCATAGCTACATTAGCATAACATTATACTAAATAGTTCCATAGCTACATCAGCATAACATTATACTAAATAGTTCCAGAACAAGATTAGTGTAACATTATACTAAATAGTTCTACAGAACATTAGTGTAACAGTATATTAAATAATTCCATAGCAACATTAGTGTAACAGTATATTAAATAATTCCATAGCAACATTAGTGTAACAGTACATTAAATACTTACATAGCTACATTAGTATAACAGTATATTAAATAATTCCATAACTATGATAGTGTAATGTTACATGTACATTAAATAGTTTGAAAGCTAAAATAATATATCAGTAATTCAATGAGTTTCAAATTTGAATTTTAATAATACCAAAAGCTTCAGTTCAAAGCCTCATTATTGTGTTAGTAGTTTAAGCACTTTTAAGCTATGTGAATATCCATATAACATTGTATTAGTCAGGCCAAAAATCATCATTATTTTTTAATCTTATAGAACTCTCATTTTGATAGTCCTGTTTGCTGTTGCTTTTCTTTGGATATCAGTACTGTTTGTATTATTATTGGCTGCTCGAACAAAGGTGAGAATGTTTAGACTAAGTTGTTTTAGTTACATCATTAAATGACCTTACGTCTATTTTGATGTAAACACGATGTAGATATTATTTTTGCCTTGTTGTTTTTACATTAATAATGAAGGGTTTCATTTCTTCTTATCTCACTGAGTGCATCCATATAAATAAAACCATCAGTTTACGTTTTTCTTCTTTTTTTTTAATACAATAGGAAATTACTTTTTCTTCCAATCATCATGGTTTAAAAAGATTATCGATTCACGTTGCCATATTTATGTTAAAAGTAATAATCATTTTTGTTATAATTTTACCATAAGTAAAGATATTAGGTTTTCTTGCTTGTGTTATCATTAACACTGATTTGTTTTTACCTATACTGTGTATGACATGTTAAAAAATGTCTTGTTGACACATCACAGGGTAGGGTTCCAAATATATGATTATACATTTAATGCTAGATAAATGACAAAATTTAGTTAGACATTATGAGTTCCAGTGTTTCTTTTGTGTACATTTACTACAAACTGAACATACAATAATTCCAATACTAAGTGCCTTCAAAGGCAGGGTAGCATGTACTAGCAAACAAGTAATAGCATAAATCACAAGTTTTATGCAACTAGTCCATGTGTTAAACATCCCACTTAAATATGTAATACTCCACTACTGCTGTAATATACAACTATGTGCTACCAGTGCATATTACAATGAAAAATAAATGTTAATCAGTACAAGAGATTAATTTAATTGATGGCTGGATGCACAAAAAAAAAGAAGAAAAAACATTAAAGTGTAAACAACTCAGCATAAGTTATTCCTAGCATAGATCTGACACTAAACAAAATATGTTCATCCTGTTTCCTGCTCAAAAGTAAAATGTCTGTGTTTTCTGGATTTAAAGAAAGACTTGTTACATTATATCGATGCAAGGTCTTCTTAAAATGTTTCTGGTTTTAAGGTACAGTGCTACTAAGAAGATAGAAATGAGCTTAAGAAAGAATCCAGATCTCAACTTAAATGGCACTGATGCTGAAATATTTTGGCGCACACATGCAAATTAAGATACTATATTTTACTTACTGATTGACACTTAAAATCTCGTGTATGAAATTTCTATTAAATGTTTTGTTGAAAGGCAGACAGTCTAATATGCTTATAGAGATACATTTGCTGCTGACATGTTCTTACTTCTATATTATGGTCAAAGTTTTCATTAGAATGATGCTAATTGATCATTGTAAATGAAATGATAAGAAGATATCATATCTTTATCTTGAGATAGAATATAAGAATTGAGCTTCAGATATCAGCTAAAATATTTTTTTAATTTCTAGTGTATTTCATGGGATATTAGCCGAGTATTTCTCCTTCGACTTGCCATGACAATTTTTACTGTTGTTTTGGTATATTCTGTTGCTCAAGTCAATGTGGTGAGTTTTTTATTTCATAACTTATATGTTTGTTTGTGAATGTTTTCTGATATGTAGTTGATCATGTGACATTAACTGTACATTTGTTAAAATAATTGTGTACGTAACAAAATATGCTATACTGTAAATTCAGGAAACACATCAAGTTCCAGTAAATTACCTATGGCAAATATTCTGAACTGCTATAACTTTAGTAAAAAAAGAAAAATGTTAAATCTAAACAAGAATTTCATAACACTTTACCATCAGAATGACCAACACTGAAAAGATGTTTGTATTGTATATACACTGTCTGCAAACAATTAGTAACTCCATAATCTATTTGTTTTTTGACTTTACCACAATTAAATAAATAAACAAATGATGACATGTGCTACATTGGACTATTGCATCCGTAAAAATAGCATAAGCTGTTTTTTTTGTGCCTCACTCTATTTTCAAATGAGGAAGGTTAAGGATGTGTTTGGCTTTAATAGATTCATTATTGTTGTCATCTGATTAGCAGAAGCATGGACAACAAAGACAATTAACTTACTAGGAAATCAAAGATGATCATCTCTATATGGCATGGCAGACATTGCATCAAAAATTCTATATGCAGGGGAAATTATGGATGGAAGAATCTATTACAATACAGGGATAGATCGCAGTTAAAAAGGGTTATGAAGACCAACAGGCATTCAGTGGTATAGTAGTTGACAGATGACATGAAACATGCTCTAGGACAATCCATTTTAAAAAGAACAATGTGCATTGAGCTGTGAGAAATCAATTTTGTAACTGTTTCCTGTCCACAAACCATAGTTTTAGATGACAACAGAAAGGTGCACCTATGATGTTGTAAAAACCATCAGAATTGGATTGTTGACCAACGTAAATATATTCTGTTGTCAAGTGAACCTCAATGTGTGCTGTTCTGTGAGAATGGAAGAGTCAAAGTTTAGCAACATCCCCATGAAGCTTGAGAATAACCTTCTTGCATTGTTTTCACTCTGCAAGTTGCTAGTGGAGGAGTAATAATCTGGGTGTATTTTCATGACATGGACTAGATCTCTAGATTTTTCTGAATGGTCACATTACTTTCTACAAATATCATTGTTGGATATACAAGACTGTTTGGCTTGAGAGTTATTAGTTAGTTTATTTAGTGATCTAATATTTGTTTGTTTGTTTAAATTTAAGCACAAAGCTACACAATGGGCTATCTGTGCTCTGCTCACCACGAGTATCAAAACCCGGTTTCTAGAATTGTAAGTCTGCAGACATACCGCTGTGCCACTGGGGGCCAATTTAATATTTAATGATCATTTAGTTTTCATAACAAGAGTGTTAAAAGTTAATAATTTTAAAAGTTATAGTTAGGACAAGTTTTGTTATGTAATTCTTTATGAGTCGCACATGGTGTATGTAGTTTAATTGTTGTAATAGACTTTTGTAATTTTGTTGATGTCACCTTACTCGAAGCTTTTAAGTTTTTCTTGTTATGTGTAATATTGGACTAGCTATTTCTAGATATTTCTGTCTTCTATTATATATACGTCCAGATACAGAATGAAGGTTAAGTGAAAAAAGTTAAAGTAAGTTAGTGAAAGCAAAAGGGAAAAAAAAGTGAAGCAAGACTGTGTGATTGTCAGTTTAGCCATAACTTGTGATTTCTAAAATGAAAGTTTCACAGTTTGTATTGTAACAACAGAGATAGAGGGGAATAATTTGTCTTGTCAATTGTGTTCTAAAGTAACTGAACCAGCCTGTGTGGACTTTTGACATAAAATATAGTTATTTAAAGCTCTGGATACAACTGTGGTAACCCATGAGGTAACGTAAGTGAACTTATCAGTGATTGTATTATTGTGATAAAAGAGGAGAGAAGGAATAATTTGTCTTGTCAATTGGGTTCTAAAGTAACTGAACCAGCCTGTATGGACTTTTGCCAAAAAATTGAATTATTTAAAGCTGTAGATTCAACTGTGGTAAACAATAGTGTAACAAATTTTTGTACATATGTTTGACTTGTTCTGAATATATATATATATATTCTTATTTAAAACAAGTGGATTGTGTGCTGTCCTTTCATTGTTGACATTTATTGCCAATAAGTCATAGACACCTCCTGTAAGGAATCTAGCCCTATACAAAAACTTAACATTGAAGTTTTCATCCATGCTATTTAACCATGTCAACCGACTTTGATAAATGGATCGAAAGAGGTGAGCAACTTGGGCTCAAAGATGGCAAACTACGCAAGTTCGTTAAACAGCAACAAGCTAGAAAAGTAAGAGTGTAGACAGAGAAGAGAGAAAGAAAGACTAAAAAAAGAAATGGAAATAGAGAGAGAATAAGAGCACAAATTGAGGTTGTAAAGCTCACCCAACAGTAAGAGGAAGGACCCCAAAATGAAAATTGAGTCGAGCCCTGCTCCCCAAATTTGATGAACAGAAAGACAACATTGATGCTTTCCTGGAAAAATTTGAAAGATTTGCTCAAAGTCAAAACTGGGACAAATGAGACTGGGCAGTCTGTCTTAGCCCACTTCTCACAGGAAAAGGCCTACAAGTATATGCAGGAATGATGTCAGAAGATGCCATGGACTATGAAAAATTAAAAGTGGCCTTGCTGAAATGCTTTGAACTTCTCAAAGAAAATTTTTTTTGAAAGTTAAGAAAAGTCAAACCTGACTGGAGAAACTGTATTTCAGTTTGTGGCACATCTACAGCAATACTTAACAAGATGGACTGACATGGCCAAGTGTGAAAATAGTTTTGATGGACTGGCAGATCTACTAATATGTGAACAGTTCATGATCACATGCTCAACTGACATATCACTGTTTCTAAAGGAATGAGCATCAAAAGATGTAGGCAAGATGATCAAGCTGGCAGAACAGTATATGGAAGTCCATGGAGGGAGTATAACTGGCAAGTTCAAGAATAACCAGTTCAAGTTGAAACCAGTGTTGGCTGACCAGAAACAGGATAGCCTCAAAGGTGAAAAGAACTCAACAGATAAAAGGGAGAAGAGATGCTCTATTTGTTATAAAATAGGGCACATTGCAAAGGAGTGCAAGTCCATCACCCACAATCAACAGCAGAAATATCAACATAAAGCAGCTGGAGCTACTTACAAAGATGGTACTGGTAAGAAACAAGAAAACAAGAATAGATGCTGCTTCCAGAAAAAACAGAATAGAGACAACTCATCAGATTCACCACAAGAAGGAAATGCTATCTCCATGATTAAACAGTGGTCAGTTGAAGTTAGTGATTGGGTTAACATTATCAGTGGTGATTGGAGCATGTGACAAACATCAAAAGGTGCCAACAAATCACAACAAGCCAGTAGGTGAAGGCTATGTCAGGGACAAGAAAGTGAAGGTTGTATGAGACACTGGGCGCAGCAGTGAGAACCAGTCTAGTAGCTGATGAAACACTGTGTGTGCTGATTAATGGGACAGTGAGGAAGTTTCTCATTAGTAAAAATAAAGGTGGATACAGCATGCCTCATGAGAGACCTTGAAACCATGTGGATGAAGGCATCCATTTATGACTTTGTGACTGGAAATATGCCAGACAGTAGAAGTTTGGAGGAACCAGACAGAAAGAGGGCTGATAAAGTATCTGCAGATACCACAAGAGCACAAGGAAAGAAAAGCAAGCAAGATATAAAACCCTTTCAAGTCTTGAAAAGTGACATCCTGAATGTAGGTCCACGGTAACTGAAGGAAGCACAGAAGAAAGATCTTTCACTACATAAACTTTGGGACAGGAATAGGACTTACAGAATAGAGGACTGGAAAAGAGTGCTGTACCAGATCTATCAACACAGTTCTACTGGGGAAGCTAAACACATCAAAGGCAGTCAGAATCATCTTGCTCGAAGCTTCTAAGTTTTTCTCATAATGTTTAATATTGCTGTTACTAGAGGGCTAGATATTTCTAAATTTTTCTGTTGCATGTTATAAATACATGCAGATACAGAGAGAAAGTAAGTAAGTTAGTAAATGTAAAAGTGAAAAAAGTGAAGTTAGACTACAGGATTGTCAGTTTAGCCGTAATGGGTGATTTTTCAAGTGAACGTTTCACAGCTTGTATTGTAACAACAGATATCGAAAAGAACAAATCGTCTTGTCAATTGGGTTTTAAAGTAACTGAACCTGGTTGAGGTTATGTGCTAAATTCAACCTTAAGTGTTACTTTCTGTAACAGGTCTGGTCCAAGAATATATCTACTATTTCATGAAATAGTTGTATTGCATACTACATCAGCTTGTGTATAGAAGATTGTTGTATTACAACTGTCACATGAAGCAGAGATACTTCTAGATTTTTGTAATTCACCTTTCCATTTTGAGAGCTATAGAGAGAATATGAACTGTGAATACAAATTTGGCATTTTCAAAGTGATTCCATTTGGTCATCAAAAAGAGCAGATTCATTTCTGAACTGAAGGTGTCAAAACTTATTGTTGAAGTTTCATATCAATTTTACACTTTTATACGTTTCTGATTTTTATACATTTTTGTGAGTTATTTTAATTTACCTTTACATACAATGTTTTTTATTTTCAAGCTAATTATATCACAATGCAACAGTTCTGTCCAATTTAATATTTTGCAGCAGTTATTTTTTCCTCAACAAATAAAGTGTTTATTTGTGCTTTAGCTTCAAACCAAGTCTTGTCTCATTCATTCCACCACTAGAAATCATTGCATCTTTCCTTCCACAAACTAGTTTTGGGTTTATCTTTGAAACTACCAAATACCTTCTTATGCTCCACTTTTATCCTCAAGGCAGTTGGTACTTTCAAGACCATAATTTCATCATCCACCATGCTAGTATTGTCTGTGATTGATTTGGAAGAGCATGGGGGAAGATACCACTTTCTTTATGACCACCACAATCTCAAGATCTCAATCTAATTGAAAATCTGTGGGACATAATGAACCATAATAGCAGGTAACATACTCCTTTACCTTCAACCCTGAAAGTAACATTAAACTTTTACATTCAACCCCGAAAGACTTGGAGACAGTATTTATTGAGGATTGGGTGACAATCAAAACTAGTGGAGCTTGTGCCATGAAAGAGTTAAGCTGTGTTTAAAACTTGTGATGGTGCAACAGGCTATTAGAACAGGGTTTGTAATTCATGGAATATAACTGTAGAGATTTCTGAATTAATTATAAAAAAAACAAAAAACTATTACACAAACTAAATATAAATGCATCAGGTGTATACTAAAATTACTATATGAAAACAAATAAGCAAACAAAGAGAAATTGTGTCAAAGACAGTAATTTTAAAAGCCCATATTGTTGGTAATTCATTTGTCTGTTTATTATAGTTTTTACTTCATATATCCATTATTATTATTATATGCTTGCATTTAACTAACAATATTTTCAGGATTTTGAAACTCCTTACATCACTTGATCCCTCCCTACAATTTACTATTATTAATCACATGAGTAAATTCAATCAAACTAAAACAAATTTGCGAATATTTCAACTTCAACTTTATGTAACATGCATATTCTAAAAATAGAAATTAAGTTCATCCCTTTCATCACTGATTTGATTTATCAACAATATCTTCCCAAAATGTATACAATAGTTATATAAGTAAAGCTTCTTTACATGTGTATTTCTTGTTTCATATTTATGTATCTTTGAAAAATACTATGATCTTAGGTAACTTACGTATTAGAATAAAGGAATTTTATTTGAAATATATAATTTTTTAATCTCTCTTTTAGTTTTCCTGCTTCAACAAACCAGTTTGTGTTCCATCGACAACAAATATCACACAGGCACCACTGATGTCTGATCATCGATCCTGTCCTTTACCACAATACATATACATCAGTTGTTGTTTAACTTTCTTTCCTATTGTCATTTTTCTCCGACTTTCCATTCTCTTGAAAGGAGCCCTGTTGTTACCAATGGCAGCTATTTTTCTTCTAGTAATAGAAATGACACATACATCAATATTTGATTGTTATGACATACAAACTGGGTAAGTATTCCAAGAAATACTGTTAGAGATTAGAACATTCTATTTTTTTTTCACTGAAAACATGTCATGAGCATAGAAATTAATATTTTTGGATACAGAAAGAGATATTCTGATAAGCAGAAAGAATTAACAATGGTTTATAACTTCTATGATTATCTAAACTATACTTTATATTATTTATTCCAAAAAATACAATCTAAAGCTTTAAGATGTACAAAAATCCTATAGGACTTTGTTTAATGTATTATAGAAAGCAACACTGATTCTAATTTAGAAATATCAAAATATATTTAGATTACTTAATTACAGTCACTGTGGAACTTTGTGATTAAACAAAGCAAGATTGTTTCCTTAAAAAATATAACAAACAGTTCTTTGTTCTGTTTGTGAAATTTTTATTTAGTTATTTCACAAATTCTTATATTTAAAGAAGAGATCGAAAGAACATTTCTTTTTCTGAATGACTTTTCCTGGCGTAGTGTCTTATTGCATTATTGGGTGATATTCAACAATGTAATAAGCCATATTTGGATTTGGCTATTTGCATGCCTCTGTGTTATCATGGAAAAAATTTATAATACAAAAGGATCAGATATATTTTTTATTAACTCATAAAAATGCATTTATAATAAAACAGTATGAATGAGTGATTTCAGGTAAAACTTAAAATAGTTGTTGCGTCATCGAGATCA